AGGATTATTGATTTTTGATAGTGTTTTTCTTTAAGTTAAAGATTGGCAAATTTTAAGTTAGTTCTTTTCTCCCTGATACATAAAAAGGAGTGAATTAACATAAATATTCATTTGCTTATTCAACAAATTTTATTGATGGTCTATTATGTACTATGCATTGTGTGTTTGCCCTGGAGCAAAATAAAGAAATAAGTACTTTTTCCCATTCTATGAATGTGCAAACAGATGTCAGGGCTGAGAAAAAATTACAGCCTGCCATGAGAAGGAAGCAACTCAAATAACCAAGTAGCCTAAACTTGTACTTTTGTTTCTAACTCAAAACTGTGTAATTTTTATGCAATGCTTTCCAAAGAAGAAAGAGCAAGAAAATATTTCCATTTCCCTTTTCTTTCTCTATAAAGAAATTAGAATGAATTGGACATAATTCCTTTTGCTCATGTATGAATACATGACCAACATAACTCTACATCACATACAACCACAAGAATGGGAAGTTACACTCCATATATGTATAATAAGTCAGAAATACATTCTACTGTCATGTATAACTAAGAACAACAAATTTAAAAAATTAAAACAAAAATAATAATAAAAAGAAATTAGAGTTTGCTTAATCTTGGATTTTATTCACTCCTCATGCAACCAGAAAATAAAACGGAGAAAGAGAATTAAATAAATGGTAAATAACCCAGAAAATGTTGTTAGTTACTATAACAAAAGACAACTCCAATGAACGGATTTTGGACTCTACCATTACTGTGCTTGTCTTTTCCATTTTTAAAAAACAAGAGGGAAAAGTCATTCTTAGTAGGAATTAAATGTATTTCAAGAATTATGGGGGACTGCCAGGCATAGTGGTGTACAGCTGTGATTCTAGCAACTTGGGAGCTAAGGCAGGAGGATCACAAGATCAGCAACTTAGTGAGCCCTAAGCAACTTATGAGATCCTATTTCAAAATAAAATGGGCTTGGGATGTGGCTCAGTGGTTAAGCATCCTTGAATTCAATCCCCAGTACCAAAAAAAAAAAAAAAAATGTGGGGTATTAGGTAGTATTGTTCATAAAACCCCAGAATATATAAAGTCCAAAGATGTGAAATTTTCTGTAATTTCTGACAATTGTAGAAGAAAAGGTTCATTAATTGGTCAATTGACCATTTTGCTGTCTGTTAGTGAAAGTAAAGGAGCGTACTTGAAAGGAGAGGACTAGGTCTCAAAAGATTAGAGGCTCTCTTAATGGTTGTTGAAGCTGAAAGAATGAGTTGATATTTCAGGATTCTTTTTGCATAATAATAGGTGCTCAATAAAGTGCTTACTGAACAAATAAATACTTGATTACATCTCTCTAAAGACTTGAGTTCTCTTTCATGATGAGACCTATTGGTTCTAAGAGGGTATTTCCAACATTATTGTGAAAAAATCTCACCTATATAAAATTGCAGAGCCTAAGAGGTTCTAAGGGGGAAGGAAGGTAAGCAGCTCCCCACCCCCCCTCCCGACACACACACACACACACACACACACACACACGCTATAGGCAGGTCATCTATGTGTAGTTTCATGCGGCCCTCTTACTCCATAAACAGCTTCCTAACTGTCCACTAACCCCTGGCTATGCCTTTCAAACCCAACCTCCACCTCCACAGAGTCCTCACAGGGTCTTTGCAAACTGGAATTCTTTGACACTGCTTAAAACTATTCTGTAAACCTTAAGAAGCAAAATCCAAATATTTTACTAGAGTATATGAAACTTACCCTGACTTGACTCTTGCCTCTCCAACAACTTTTGCTCAGTTGGTTAGCTTTTTGGTTTGGTTTTGTATTGTTGGGCTTATTTTTTTTTTTTTTTTTTTTTTAGTTTTCTTATGGTTTTGTTTCTGGTGAAAATAGAAGGTGGGCTTTTTCTTTTTTCTTTTTCCTTAGAATCAAGTTTCAACAACACAGAGTTGTTTCCTAGAGCTAGTGTTCTTCATCTTACCCACTAGGCCAAGGAACTTACAAGGCTCCTCCCCTTCCTCTTTGCTCCCCTTTCTCTTCACCTTTAACATTATGTTCTGTCATCTCCCCCAGCAAACCTAAGACAGGACTTTTTTCCCTCCATATGTCCCTTTCTGATTCCTACAGTTGCTCTAGCTACCTTTGCACTGCATTTCCCAATTCTTTTATCATCATTCAACTCCCTTACTAATCCCCCAAACTTTCCTCATTTCTGTGTCCCTGTCATATTGGTACAGTTTGACCCACCATAGGTACTCAAGTGACTCTGAGTTAATGAATGAATGCTCGGTGGCTACACAGGGGAAAACTTGCAGCATCACTTTGGGTTATTGACCTAGAGCCATCTTCATGAGCTTCTTGTTACTTAGCCCCATGTCTACTCAAAGGACATCTATGAATAGAAAGAAAAGTGTTTGGTGGCCCCAAGAGGCAAGTACTCTGAAAGTTTTTAACTGAACAGAGTAAAGTAGAAATTTCAAGAGGCTAACATATCCCCTAAACTATTTATAAAAAAAAAAAAAAAAAAACAAGCCCAGTGGCCCAGTGAATACCTCCACCACCAAGTTCCTTAATGACAGGAGAGGGTGAACTCCTCCCTGAGTTCCACAAGTTCAGAATATTTTTATTGTTTAAGCTTTTATCTTTTTAATTTATGTAAATTTATTACTCTTTCCGTAAACTTAAAAAGATTTTTACAAATCACTTACCTGTTAAATAACCAAATCCAGGGCTGGGGCTGGGGCTCAGAGAAAAAGTGCTCCCCTGGCATGTGTAAGGCACTGGGTTTGATCCTCAGCACCACATAAAAATAAAGGTATTGTGTCCACCTACCACTAAAAATTAAATGTCTAAAAAATAAATAAATAACCAATTCCAGCCAGGTACATTTGTGGACATCTTTAATCCCAGCAGCTCAGGAGGCTAAGACAAGAGGATCGCAAGTTCAAAGCCAGCTTCAGCAACCGTGAGGCACTAAGCAACTCAGTGAGACCCTGTCTCTAAATAAAATACAAAATAGGGCTGGGAATGTGACTTAGTGCCCCTGAGTTCAATTCTCGATACCCCCCCAAAAATAATAATAACCAATTCCCCAGGAAAATAGCAAAACTGATATTCAGATGGCCTATACTTATCTTATGGTTCCCCATGTTTTCCTGACTCCCCTAAGATGCCTCCTTAAGTATGGGATAATGTTATGGTTCCTTTACTTATCTTCCCAAAAACCAAGTGTAGGTCATGATTTATGAAAAAATCCAAAATAAAAATGGAAGGAAATTAGAAATAATAAGAAGGGGACTTGTCCCCAATATAAAAACTACATAAAAATTCACACTCGTATGCCTAATGACTATAGATTTCATTCATACCACCACCAGCCTCATTTCTGGAGAGCTTCTACCTAATACTATTATGAATATTCCCCACTTATGATGGGGTAGTGTCCTAAAAAAACCATCATTTGTTGAAAATATGATAAGTTGGAAATGCATTGAATACCTTTAACCTAACCTAATGTCATGGCTTAGCCACACAGTCTACTGTAAAGGATCATCAGGATTGTTAGCCTCACAAATGTGTAGCTGACTAGGAGATATGACCAGCCACCACTGCCCAGCATCACAAGAGAGGATTGTGGGAACCCAGGAAAAAATCAAAATTCAAAAAAGTATGGTTTCTGCTGAATGCGTATTGCTTTTGCATCATCATGAAGTTGAAAATTTTTAAGCTGAACAATCATAAGTCAGGGATAGTATTTCTGTAGTCCCTGAAGAAGGAAAAGTTACCTTCAGTTCTTTTCTTTCTTGGCATCTTTTCATACAGAAAAACTAGATAGAGATATATTTGCATACACATGAAAATACATTCAATACAGCATTCTTGGGAATAGAGAAAAAAAACCTGTAGATTTAAATGCTTATCAATAAAGCCTTGGAAAAGTAAATGACAGCACATCAAGACAATGGCATAGCACGCAAGATAGCATGCAGTTATTGAATAAAAGTAGATCATTGCTACATGTTCATGCATTGCAAGAGCTCTTGGATATGTGGTTAAAACAAGAGGGCAAAGTATGGACCAGGTATACTTCCTACTGAATAGAAAAGTGCGGGGGGGTGTTATTATATATGTATAGAAGGTCTCTGTGAAGATACAATAGTGGTAATCTCTGGAGAAGGCTAGGGGTTACAAAAGGGAGATTTGCTTTTATTAGATACATTCTTATATTGCTTAATTTTTTCACCATGCATATTAAATTTTCAAAAAAACAAATCATAGGATTGGGAATGTAGCTCAGTGGTGGGGCACTTGATTAGCATACACAAGGCCCTGGATTCAATCCCCAGCACCACACATATACAAAAATTGCATGTATTTCTATACACAAAACAAAAGCCATGTGGAGGAAGTACAAAGAGGAAAGGCGAAGCCTTGCTCAGTCCACCACCCAACTCACTGCTTCCTGTGCTCATGACCCAGCAGACTCTGGTTTCTGTGATTTCCTAATCTGAATATCTCTTCACTGTTTTTAGAGAGGAGGAACTTCAAAAACTGGAGATGATGCAGAAAAGAGTCCCTATATAAAAAACACAGATCCTCTTTCTCTACATTCATTACAACTTTATCTTCATGACTGCATTTTAACAAAGGTGTATCTGACAGCTTCTATTTCCTTGTCCATACATACTTACGAGGTCATTGTTACTTACCTTCCCCATATGCAGGATGGCACACACTGCAAAGACCGAGGTCAGAGACTAAGGTTTGCGAAGGACTTTTCTTCCACATTGAGCCAATTGCCTATGCATTCTTGACAATAAACTGCAGGGAAAGAATCTGTTCATGCCTGGCCCAGGTGGCCAATTACTTGGTGAGGAGATCTAAGGGCATAATGCTCATTATGAGTCCCACAACAATTGGGAAAGCATTCTCAGTGTTTAGAGAACCCTTTAAATGAAATTAGACCAGTGTTTGAGCCAATCCATACCAAGGAGCCAAGAGGAATAAAGGAGTGAATGTTTTATTCTTTAGTGTTTAATAGAATACATGATAAGTTTAATAATCAATGATTCATTACTTCACACACAGGGAGGAAAACAGTATTGAGTATTTCTGTTATACAACTGGTTGTGAACAGGGAAAACAAAAACCTCTACTATATTTAGATGGTGGAAGAAATTCTCCAAGTTTGGGCATCTCTGAAAAGACTTCATTAGTGTGTGTTTTTGTTGTTGTTGTTTTAACACAGATATTTTTTTTCTTGACTTTGTTTCATTAGAAAAGTCTGATAATCTTATATTTTTTCTTCTTCCCTTATATTCTGAGATAATATAGTTCAAATGATATATACCACTTAGCATATAATATTTTTAACAGTTTTGGAATGCTGGATAGCTCTGTGAGGGTCTTCCATTATTTGACAAATGAGCTTTTTCAGATGCCCAGAAAAATGTCAACAACATATAGTTTACGTTTTTTAAATTTACCCCCATAATGAATGTTTAAACCTTTTATCATTAAATTATTACTAATGGAGGTAATAAATGGATTTTCCTCATTTGTATTCAACAATAGCAAAATTTACCTGCCTATAAAGTCACAAAGATAGTTGTGTAATAGTTTACATTACAATTAATGTCCATATACTTTAAAACACATTTAGAATTAAAAAAAAAAAAACTGTCATGGAAAAAAAATCACAAAGCATGTAAGTGACAAGAATTCTTCAAATAGTCCATCTTTCTACCACATGAGATTATACACTAATGTAGAGAGTTTGTTTGAATTTTATCTATCTAAGTTTTAAGGGCCCCAGCAGAGAATCTAAATCCTCAAGTATTAATACATTTAGATTTTTATTGTCAAAAACTTGACAAAGAAAAGTTAACTTCAACATAACTTGTTTCAGGCTATAAGAAAACCTATTTCAGGTACTACAGATTTTGGAAATAAGAATACTATATTTTATTCATTTCTCAAGAGACAGACTTGCATCATCTAAAAAAGATTGAGGTTTTAAATGATTTACAGTAAGGAAAAACACTGGGAAAATTCTAAAGTATTGTCTCTGCTAGATTTACAATAAAAAAATTATTTAGTATTTTAAAAACTTAAGTCAATTGTGTCAAGTATGTGATTAGACTATAAAAAGAAATTCTTAAGGAATTCAACCCCACCAGTCAATACATTTCTAAATGTCTGCTTTGTAATTCACCCTTTTCATATAGGAGTATAAAAACAATTTGAATATTAAATGGGAATTTACCATAATTGGAGAGTAAAAAAATTATCAAAGCTTCACCTTACATGGCTTTAATGTAATAACAACATTCCATGGAAAATTCCAATAAAAATTAGAGTACGTCATGGGCACTGCGGTTGCCCATGGGTCTGAGTATTCGCACACTATGCGAGAAGCAGCAGACCGTATATGTATATAGGGGTCTGGTTTGAAAGAGAAGATAATTTTGGCTAGTATTATAAATTACCACTTTGCTATCAGCCCAAAAAAACCAAATAAGAAACACAAGAATAAAAATAGTATTGAAATGGAAAAAATTTAAGTCTCACACCTTCAAGGAATATTTTCCACAACATATCCTTTGAAAAATGATGTTAGAATGAATATGGCTCATAGTCTACATGTATATAAAAAACAGATAGGTCAAACAGTTGGTGCAAAAACAAGGAACCTGGTACCTGTTTTTTAACCCCCATTGTCATCAATTCCTCTTTTAAAAAATGTATATAAAAAAACACATATGTCAAACACTTGGTGCAAAAATGTTTTTTCAGTTATATTTATGAACACCAAGCAGTAACAGAGCAACATATGAAAATGCATGCCTCTCTGAGTCAGATTAATGCAGTCTTCACTCTCTGAATAGTTTATGACATTCCCAGGTTATTGAAATCATGTCTTTTGGAGGGTTTATTCAGATGGACCCTCAATACCCTGTTCAAGCTCGTAAGTGTTGACCAACATTCCAGAACACTTCGTAGACCTAAAAGCTCTTTCTATAGCCTAATGCACATGGAGAGAAAGGGATCCAAAGGTGCTCATGCCCACTCATCTTACCTCAGTTATACCATCTGCCCAACAGAATGAAGTCAACCTCAGAGGACACAGTCATTGCTAGAAAAAGAGGTTGGTTTACTGTCCCTAACATTAAATTCCCAGTCTTTAACATAATGCAGGGGATACAGGGCAGCAAAGGGAAGTGGGTAATAAAAAAAAAAATACCTACATGTAAGAGAGTGGAATAGTTCAGCTCAAAGTTTTAGAACATAAAATTCATTAAGACTTTAATGGCAGAGACAAAACTTCAGTAGTTTCTCATGACTCTTGGAGTTGTGCAGATTTGATAAGGGAAACCAGAATTGACAAGTCTTTCCATCTGTCAGTGTTTATGATCTGTCCTAAAGATGTTCTCAATCATGTGTTTTTTTGTTGAGCAATCTAACAGAATAACATAGGAGTGGAGAAATTTCTGTGACAATCACTTGTGGCCAGTGAGTGACACTCCTAAATCATTTCAGGCTTGAAACAAAGACAAGTTCTGATGTATAACCTAGTCTGAGAACAAACTCAACATATATGCAAACAGAAGTTCCTGGATTCTTCTTCTATTCCTCTTAAAATGACAGTCTTTGCATATACAGCTAAACTTTTTTAAACTAATAAAAGAAAATAAGTCTTTCGTGTTCCTAATTAAAATGAAAGAATTCATGGATTAAAAATGCAGGTACCTTGATTTTAGGTAGACAGTTAACTGACGTGTGATTTGTATACAACTAATGTCCTAGCAAAGCAAACTCAGTTTCACAATTATGTATTATTTTCCTAACCCAAGTTCCTCATAGACAAGGATATAAGAAACTCATCAAAACATGTTGCTATAGTATATACACCATCTGATGCAAGTTACTGGGGGTAAATATAGGAAATTTTATAGCATTAGTAAATGAATTAAAAAACTAAATGATTCATGTAAAATGTTTATATATGGTATATACAGATTGGATCACATATGAGTCTAATAAGAAAATTGTTTGAACATATAACATCGGTCATGGACATAGCAAGACAGTACAAGATTCATTTTTTTAAAAGAAGGAAAAATAACACTAATTTAAACACCGAAAACTACTCTTACAAAATTATTAAAAACATATTTCAGAGAAAAATGCTGAAACAAACAAAAACACAGACTTCTCCATCATCACAGAATAACCAAAGGATGCCTCACAGCATGAAGCATGATGAGGATCTGTTTCCTTCACCTAGGGTGTACACAGGATACACACTGGGAATTGATTTCATGTGAGAGTAAAGGCATAAGGCAACCAGGTCTCCTGTTTCTGTTGTATTTACCTAAAACACCATTTTATTGCTCAACTCATTTTTAAGTACTTATCTGCCTTCATTTAAGATGTCCCATTTCACAGCTATCAACAGATGGGCAGCCCTCAGTGCTTATACTTCTCTACAGCTCTGTTGCTTGAAAAGATTCCACTTTAACTTCAAACAGACTGCATGAAAGAAGTGGCATTTTTCTGCTTTTCAGGTATGCCCAGCAGTAAATATTTGCTAGGCTTGGAAAAGAAGAGGATTTTTAATAAAAGATCTTAAGTCAAAGTAACCAAAATCAAACCTATTTTGCTCAATACATTTTAAAGACAAGATTTATAATCAACAAGAAAATAAAAGTTCAAAAACTAAAACCCTACTAGGTAACTCTTTGGTTAAGTTCTATACTTATTAGCAACTTTAAGTTTAGGACTCAAAACAGTTCAATAAACTGCTAGTTAAGAGTAGATCTGTTACTAATCTTGATAAATTGCTTTGCAAGTTTGCATTTATTGTTTGATATTTTTAAGTGTGTATGTTCTCAAACAGACGGTACAAACTTCCAACTTCCAAATAATAAATGAGTTATGTCTGCTCCTCCCTTCCCACCCTTCCTTTCCTACCTCCCTCCCTTCCCCACCCCCTAAATCTTAGATCTAATGATTGTACAGTCCTACTGCCCATGACGTGCACTCCTGCCCAGCTCCATTTGTCACTGCCAGATGATTCCCGCTGCACTTGGAGACCTGGGCAGTCTTGCCTCTTCTGAGGCAGCGCCCTTTTTCCCTCTTGCCTAGAACTGCCGAATCAGCCAATGGAACAAGGGCTCTGGCAACATGCAGAGGAGAAAGGGCGCCCCCCGTAGGCAGGAGGATCACTTTCTACAAGTTCAAGCTACAGGCTTAAGATCTTCTACTATGTGTTGAAAAGATCTGGTCCATCACCGTGCCAGCACTAGTCTTCTACTTCTACCTGTAACTTTTCAAAACTTATTCAAATTTACAGTCACCGAATTGCCTCCACGGGGTCTTAATTCAGTTATCAGTTTTCCACAACTCTACCTTTAAGAGGGCCAAAGACTGTAATGACCTTTTAAAACAGTATCCCAACAGTTCTGATATCTTAAACCCGGAGTGAGTCAAAAGAGTTTGAGAAGATTCCAGTGAATCTTCTACACACTGAACACCGTCCAATCAGGTTTTGAACAATTCAATCATTCCCAGGTACTCGGTGACTTTGTGGCGCCCGCCGTGGGTGCCACTAGATCCAGATTGAAGTACAATCTGGGGGAAGGGTAGTTTGAGACCCGGAGTAGAGGAAACATGGGGTGGGGGTTACATCTGAGCGCTCTTGGTTAGAGAGGTTCAAAGAAGATGAAGAAGCCCAGAGGATTTGTGGCTGCTGATTCTTAAGTGGGGGTCTAACAGGTCTGGCCGAGCTACTGGAGGGAGCGGAAGGAACCAGGGGACTGAAGACGTGTGTCAGGAGGATCTATAATCATCTCCCCTGCGTGGAGAAGGGAAAGTGGGTGCTGGAGTCGCGAGGGGTCTGGGGAGCTCACTCCCTGCAGAAGACGTACTCGGTGTAGCTGGTCCAGATCTTGTCCTCGCTCTGGTCGGTGCTGCTGGCAAAGGCGCAGGTGCCTGTGGAGCTGCACGCCACCATGTGGAAGCCCGACTCGGACAGCTTATCGAAGGCCTGCTCCAGGAAGTTGAACTTGAGGTAATAGCGTGAAGTGTAGCGCTCTGGGGGCCGGTCGGGGTCCCGGCTCTCGTTCAGGGTGTCCCCGAACACCTCCTTGGCCAACGACGTCTTGCCGCACACAGTGATGCGCGCCACTCGCCGGAACTTGGCGTCTGCTTGTGCGTCCCGCCCGATGGTGTAGGAGCCACGGTAGCCGATGGTGATGTAGCCAGAACGCCGACTGCCGTCCAACGACTGGGACGGAGTGAGCAGCGGGCCCACCGCACCCCCGGACGGGCTGCGGCTAGCCAGCTCCAGCGTGGGCGACGGTGCCCCGGCCGAGGCGCCCTCCTGCTGCTCGGGCTCCACGCAGCCCAGCTGCAGCAACTCGTCGCCCAGCGAGCCCTCCTTGTGCACCCCGCGCCGGGAGTGCGGCGGCGGCGGCCCGGGGCCAGGCTGCTGGGGCGCCCCGAGGCGGCGCACGAGCTCTGGCAGCTCGAAGTACTCGGCCTCGCGCTGAAGCCGGCTGCGCTCGGGGAAGTAGTCGGGCAGCACAAGCTGCAAGTCCCGAAGGTAATCCAGGATGTAGCGGAAGAGGAAGCCGTCCCGGTCCAGAAAGAAGCGGCCTTTGCTGTCCCGGGCCAGCTCCTGCGGCTGCTGCTGCGTGAACATACGCCAGAGCAGCGAGTCTGGCACCGACACCACAGTACAGCGCCGGGTCACATACACCTGGCCCCCCACGTTCAGCTCCACGATATCGGGGAAGAGCGGCGGCTCCGCAGAGGACGACGAGGAGCCGCTGCCGCCCCCGCCGCCGCCCCCGTTGGGTAATCCTCGTGTGCTGTCCGCCAGAGCCATGGCAAAGAGGTGGCCGGACTGGGGCCGCGCTCAGGAGCCGCAGCCGCCTTTCTCAGAGCCCCGGAACCGGGACGCTTGCTCAGCCCAGCGCCCTGGCCGCTGCCACTAGGAAGAGCAGCGCGGTGCGAGCGCGCCGCTGTGCGCCCCGGTGAGCTCCGGTGCGCAGCACCCGCCTCGCCCGCGCGCTCCAGGCGAGTGCCGGGTCGCGGCCGGCGCGCCGCTTAAATAGAGCCGCCGGCTGGGGCGCCGCGGCGCGCAGGAGGCGTGGGCGGCTGCGGAGCGGCGGAGCCTCGCTTGGGCGGGGGAGGGGAGAATAGGGAATCGATCTGCATCTTAAACGCTGACGCCGCGCGGGGCTGCTGGCTCCACCCCGGCTCGCGCTCCGGGGGCGACCCAACTCCCCTCCGGCGGACCGCGCTCCGGCCCCTTCCCTCTCCCGCCCAACTTTCTCCCTCTTTCGAATGGATGGGGCTAAGCTGGGACTGGCCGTTGTTCTTTGGAGGGGCAGTCGCTGGGCCCCCTCCCCTGTTAACCTCACCCACACCCGGGGACTCTGGAAGGAGGAAGTAAACTTTTGGGCGTCTTCCACTCGGAAGAATGGAAATGTGTGACCGCCGCCAGTCCCGCGGTCTCCGGAACTGGCCGCTGCAAACAGTACAGCTGTGCTGCCACAGTCGCTGGAAGTTCTCGAGAAAAACAAAAAACCTGGAGAGACAGAGAGGCCGCCCCAACCTGGAACAAGCAGATTTTGTTCACGTTAATGCCCTATAGCTTCGAAAAATCCCTAGAAACAAAGAGCTAATAACCCCAGTATCCTGTCGTAGGACGCTCTCAGATAGTTTTTCTCAGTACATAAGTCACTTATTTGTCGGAAGACCTCAGGATTGGAGGCAATAAGCTGAAATTGCAATGGAGGGAACTTGGATGGGTAAAAGGTGTCACACACGCGTCCCCATGAGGAGGACTGGAAACAGCCTCCGCCTCATAGCACCTTCGTGGCCAGACTGAAGGAACAGAGAATAGTAAGGTCACGGGTTCTCTTCAGTCATCGGTGAATTGTGCCAGAACATTCAGAGGGAACGTATTTTTAAAACCACCTTTCAGTGCCTGTGTATTTATCTTCTCAGTGGCCCAGATGCCCTTGCTCTTCGGCTTGCTTCCATCTTTCTGTTAAGTCCTTTCCAGGTTCCTTCCCATCTCAGGGAGGGATATTTGTATGTTTAAAAGCCCTCTTGTACATCTTGCCCGATTTTCTCCTGCTCCCTGCACATTCAAATTCACTAATTGTAGCCCGCTACCCACGTCCTGCCTTTGTGCTCAGCACATTGAAATTTCGTATTTATGAGTGATTAGCTGATCCTGACTTTGGTAAATAAATAAATGCATCAGCGATTCAAGAAGAGTGAATAAAAGAGAATATTGAGAAATCATTGGGTCAATTAATATTTGCTCTGCACCTTCTATTTCCTGGATGCCAGGTAGTGAAGAATTCGAGGTTTGATGATCTCCAAGGCGCTTTGAATAGTGTACAATATGCAAAGGGTCAGAGATCTGTGTGGGTTTTCACGTCAGTTTGAAGTACAGGCCATCAATCAGGATAAATCTGGCAAGAATCTTTGTGCTGGATAATAATGTTTACCCTTTTGTGTAACTACCCAGTAAGCTTCATAGTCTCCTCACGGATAAGTGTCATTTCCATTTTGAAATGTTTATGTCTGCTCAACAATTATCACACTCATGTCAGTGCTCTGAAAAAAGATCAAGCCCCAAACCAGCTTGCTTAATTGCAAGTACAGATTTTGATACTGAATATATTTCATCACTCTTTGAACTGTTCTTTGGGATAAATAATAGATGATCCAAAAGTTCCACGTTCCAATGCTGCATTTATGGGTGGTTGTGCTGTTATGTATTATATAATTTGTCACACAATTGAAGAGCTTAGTCTCCTATAAATCCAAGGAAAACCTTCTTTGTATCAATTCTGCACATCTGTTTTAATGGATATTTTATTCATCATGTCAGCAAATCCTGTCAGCTCTACCTGCTAGATCCTTCCAGACTATTCAGTTTCACCATCTCCTGGGCACCACCCTGGACCAAGGCACCATTGCCTCTTGTCTTTGTCTCCTAACTGCTTCCACCCTTGTCCCCTTAGTCTTCTATCACCAGAACAAAATTAGGGATCTTGTTATAACCTATGTCCAGTATGTCTCTCTACTCAGAGTCACACAGTGGTTTCACATCTCACATAAGAGCAAGTCCTTTCAGTGGCCTACAAGACTCTGTATGATTGGAGCTGTCACACTCATTCCTCTCTGAGGATCTCCAAGGAGATCACTAGCTTTAACCACAAAGCCCCCTTCCTGTTTTCTCAGAGCCTTTTCCCTTCCTTTTTCCTTTGCCTAAAAGATTCATTCCCTCCTCCTACATGCCTTCCTGTCCAGAGTCAGCTGACTCCCTTTTCACTGTCTCCTTTCTTGATTACCCAATTTAGTACAATGCAGTCACACTATAGAAGCTTCCTTTTCCCTGCCTTACTTGTTGATTGTCTGTTACATTAGAATGTAAAGAGTTCAGAGATTTTTGTCTGTCTCATTCATTGCTACTTCCCCAATATCTAGAATAGAGCTTGCATACTATAGGCATTTAATAAATATCTGTTGTTCATTTATTCATTCCACCAATGTTATTCATGGCCTATATATTAATCAACATTCTGTTGCTGTGACAAAATGCCTGAGAAAATCAACTTAAAGGAGGAAAATTTTATCTTGGCTCATGGTTTCAGAGGTTTCAGTCCACGGTCATTGGCTCCGTTGTTTCTGGGCCTGTGGTGAGGCAGGACTTGGTGGAGAGTGTGTGTGGTGATGCAAAGCTGCTTCGGCCAGGAAGCAAAGAGGATAGAGAGAAAAATAGATCAGGGAAAAATATACCCTTCTAGGCATGTCCCCAGTGACTTACTTTCATTAACTAGGGTCCCACCTTTTAAAGGTTCCTCTACCTCCCAATAACCCATTAAGTTATGAATTCATCAATGAATGGATCCATTGACAAGGTTTGAACCCTCATGAGCCAATCACCTCCAAAAGCCCCACCTCTTACCACTGCTGCATTGGGGACCAAGCCTTTAACACCTGAGTGTTGGGGGAACATTTTAGATTCAGATCAAAACAGCCTACTATTGTGTTTCAAGAGTGTGTTAAAAAATAATTACTACCCTCTTAGAGCTAACAGTCTAATTGCAGCCAGTAACTCACATCCTGCCTTTGCACCTTTGGAAACATATAATATATATACACACATACACACATATATGTAAGTGTATTTCAGATAGAGATAAGTGTCATGAAGAAAACATCATAATGAAATGAGATGGGTGTGTGTGGGGATTCTGCCAGAGGGCCTATGGAAGGGCTCTCCATAAAAGTGACATTTGTGCTGAATGATAAGAAAGAGACAGCCATGGGACATTCTGAAGGAAGAACATTCCAGGCAGAAGCCAAACAAGTCAAAAGGGCCTGGGTCAGGAAGGAGTTCAGTATGTCTTACATCAGCGTATGGATTGCATAAACTGCTTTCTCCTGGGAACCTCCAAGTTACCTTGAAGTCATGATTTGATGCAGACTCAGATGTGAGAGGTACTGTGTGCTGATATGCAAGCAGCACACCCAGTATTCATCCACCCCAAGAAAGTCTACTGCAGAAAAGCTGTTGGTACTTCCTTGTGAAGCCAGGTTGTTCATGAGATGCAATAATGAAAGAGACTGTGGTTTGAAACGAAGAGTAAATTTCTGATTAATTTTGTGTGTTCTGTTTTTTGTCTGTTGGTTAGTATCACAAAATTTGAGAGAAAATGTAACTGAGGAACTTTGATGCTGGCACGAGAGGGCCTGGGTGTTTATGGAGCGAGAAGTAAGTTATAATTCTTCAGCATGTCCAGTATGTTAAATATGCTTAATTGGAAGAGGGTCCAGGAGGATTAGAAAAACCCTCACCCTGTGCTTAGTCTCAACCCAGTTTCTTTTTCTTTTTTTAAAGATATACATGACAGCGGAGTGTATAGCTTATTGTAATTAAGATGGAGTTTAACTTATTGTAATTAAGATCCCATTCTTGTTCACCCCTGTTTCTAGTGCTGGATACATTGTTGATCATTGTTCCTGTTTAGGTGACTCTGTACTTTCCTAAGAATCAGCATGCCTTGCTAGTACTGCGTCCTTTGCTCCTGGGTGTAGGGTACTGGAAACATCCCTAGATCTAAATTCTTATCTCATTCCATCCTACCACCTGCTCTTCCAACCGACTTTTCCATGCCACCAAAGCACTTACTCAATGTTCTACACACCAAAGATCTGAGGAAAGGAATCGAGGAACACAAAGAGAAATATAAAGCTTAAAGGGGAGGAATACCTGGGGCAAAGTGAAGTGAGTGCCTCAGAGGGTTGAATGAATTTAATATATGTGAAAATGATCTGAAAGCTGTAAAACACCATTCAGTTGTCAGAATCATTATTTTCCACCACTTATCACGGTGCCTGACAAGTCTGCTCAATAAATGCTAGATGAATAAATGAATGACAGAAACGTTAAAACGAATGCTGTAGGGAAAGGGGAGGAGAGGTGGAATCAGAAATTGTCCTGAACAAATACTGACTGCATGTGTCATCCCCAGAATACACGTCCATCTTTTCTGTATGCAGGCTTTTAAAACCATTGGCTTTTTGCATTCAGAGAGAAAAACAAATTGGGTACAGAAATTAATTAAATAACAGTAAGTTTAAATTAGGAATCAAATGACTTAATAAGGATTTAGCAAAAGATAGACTAACATCTAATCTTAAATGAGAGGGAAAAAAAAGTTCTGTGAAGGACATTGCCAGATACTAGGAAATGAAAAATGTTCCAACATGGAATGATTATCCCCGCTGTATGATTTTTATACTTACTAGAATCAGAGGAACAAAATGTTGGAAACGTTTTCATTTTTATTTCTATTTCCTTAAAAACAATGTTTGAACCTTTTCCAGGAAACCAGTAACGATCTTCTTAGCAAGTATGTATATAGCACTTACTGAATGCGAGTTCTGTTTATAGAATTGTGCATGTACTAACTCATTTAGTCCTCACAGTAACTCTATCAAGTTGATACTATTATCAGGTTGATCCAATTTGAGGATGAGAAA